CACACATACACACACATACACGCACACACACACCACACACACACTCTCACACACACACACACACACACACCACATACACATCACACACACCACACATACACACTCACAGACACCACATACACACCACACATACACACTCACACACACCACACATACACACTCACACACAGATACACACACACCACACACACACACCACACACACACACACCACACATACACACACACATACACACACACTCACATGCACACACACACACATACATAGGTCTTGGCTGTAATATTGTCCAGCTTGATTCCTCGTGCAATTTCATCCCACTGTCCTGCATACATAAATACAAAGTGATTGATTTTTTTTTTTGCAGCACAACTTTGAAACATATCTGTTGGGAATGCATTATAACAGTAATGGAAATAAAAATTAGTGGCTATAAAACCCCATCCATCATCCTAATCTTTCAACAAATCAAATTGTTTCCAATTTTCAAGTCATTGGACTAGTCTTTGCTTTTGAGCACATATAGGTTTTCCCTGTCAGTACAAAGAAGATTCTGTCTTCTGCCTTTCTTCACAGTATCATAAGCATTTTACATATGGTGTAGTCTTTATGACTATCATGAAAATAACTTCATTAATGGGTCACTGTAACGAAATGAATCACTCTCCCACTCTGACCTTGCTGCCTTCCTCCCTCTCCTGTCTTCTCACAATGCAACTGAATGCTAACATAATCTTCTATTGCTTTTGATGTTTCTCCTTTCACATATATTTTCTGAATATAGCACCAGAAATATGTGAATGGTTTCTATACTGACAAAGTACTTTCTGAATTTCATAGTCATTAAGGCAACATGTAACCTATAACGTATACTGTGGCTTCACCCAGATTTTTGGTATCACTATTTTCTATTACCTGGAGGAATATTCACTTCATAGTGGTAAAATCTTTATGATCTCATATTAATAATATATGTGTAAGTATTTTAATCTACTTCTTATTACTATGATTGTTAAATGCTTTATTGTATGAGTTAGTTGTGTTTCCTACTATGGATTATACTATGTGTATGCCTTAGCTTGCATCTCAAAAAAGTTAAGTTTGTGAGGATGGAACAGGGTTGTATCTCAATTGGTAGATACTTGCCTGGCATACACAAAGCCCTGGGTTCTGTTTCTAACATAACATGCACAGGGCTTGGAGACATAATTACAGCCCTTGGAAGGTAAAGTCAGGAGGACCAGGTGTTCAAGGCCATTTCCCTCTGCTACATAGCAGATCAGAGGCTAGCCTTGAATACTTCAGAATCTGTTTCAAAAACATTTATTTTTAGGTGTGCTTTCAAAGTCTAGAGAATAATCTTATACCTTATTAAATACATGTTTCTAATATAAACTGCTTCTTTTTTACTTTGATATTTTATAGCAGATAAGTTTGGCATTTTATTATCACTAAATATGTTAAATCTTTTCCAATGTTATTTTTTAACCCTTCAAAGCACACAATAGTCTTGCAAAATGTCTTATAGTGTGCAAATTAATTATTTCAGCATTTTTTAATTTTTTATTTAATCAATATAAAATACACTTTGTCATGACATGAAAAGATTTTAAATTGCTTCATTTTTAAAATTATTAATTGTACGAATGTTTATTAAAATCCCACCTTTTACATTTGATAACACTCATTTTCTTTATATTAATTTCTAGCATACACAAGGCCAGGATTTTGTATACTTTCCTAGATAAAGCACCATAGGGGGTAAAACAATGATACTGTTTCGAATGAAAATTTTAAATCTGGAATGAGCATTCAATGTTATGCCTTCTTTTAAAAATATCCTACTATAATTAAATTATTTATGAAGATATATATATATTATATATACATACATACTCACACACATAATTTCACTTTTTGCCTTGTTTTGTGTTTTGAGACAGGGTTTCTCTGTGCAATTCTGGAACTCACTCTGTAGACCAGGCTAGCCTTAAACTCAGAGATCCTCCCAGCTCATTTCATCTCTTAAAAAAGACCTCCTTGAGGGTTTTTCTGGAATTGAACACTATTATTTTAAATTATTCCAGAGAACATAATAACTTTCCATATCTTTATATACAAAGATATAATCTGTCTCTTTAGTAAATCTTTTGTAACTCACAATGAATACTATCTTAAAGGTGATATTTGCAATGTTGTATCATGAAGGAGCTGAGATAATGAGAAAGATAAAAACTACACCTTGAGACATGTACACACAGCTAATCTCTAGTCTTAGACCAGCAGTTCTTGACTTATGGGTTGCGACCACTCTGGCAAACCTCTATCTGTAAATATATTTGTATTACAAATCCTAACAGTAGCAAAACTGCTGTTGTGAAGTAGCAATAAAATAATTTTATGGTTGGGGGTCACCATACCATAAAGGACTGTATTAAGGAGTCGCAGCATTAGGAAGGTTGAGAACTACTTACGACTCTCAGTATAGTCAGCAGTATAGTTAGATAGTATCTAGTATCTAGATAGGTAATGTCATGATCCATAATACAACATGTGCATGATACTGATATTTGACAGAGCTCTTTCGTGAGGATCACCTCACTTGCTGTGCTTGATAGAGATGAGGCCGCCCTTATCACTAGTATAAAACCAAAAAAGTCAACATACATCTTCTTTCAGATCAGAAGCACAAGCTCATCTCCTAACATCCCGCTGTGCAAAAAGCACATGCTCAGTTGCCGCACGAAGAACAGCAACACTGTCCTCACATTTTGTCATTTTTTTCTGCTGTAACAACTGTTAGTTGTCATCGTCATTTCTTATTTTCCACCTATCTAAGATTGCTCAAAGAAATACTGCCGGTTATTGTATGTACACCTCAGGCTCTTGAAAAAATTTGAATCATTGGACTTTTTAATGTCATATTTCCAAAAACAAAGACGTGCTTGAGATTCATACAGTAACCGAATCAGCTAATTAAACCAACTAGGCTGGCAAGATGACTTAGTGGGTAAAGGTATAAACTTCCAAGCAAGGGAACCTCAACTTGATCCCTGCAACCCACAATGGTGGAAGATGAGAACCAGCTCCCACAAGTTGTCCTTTGACCCCCAACATGAACACCACTTCCTACACACCCTGCCCCTCCTCACCACACACAAAGCAAATGAAGAAATGTAGTAGTTTGAAACAGCCCAGCTTAAGAAAACAAAAGACCCATAAATTTGAGAGAGATCAAAGAGGGTTTCATGGCAGGTCCGGAGGGAGGAAAGGGAAATGGAAATGATGTAATCATATTATAATCTCAAAGTAGTTTTACAAAAAGCCCAGGTATCTATCATGATACTGTGACATTCAAATCTCCCTGCTTTAGGAACATAAGCGCCTAGCTTACATAGCTGTTCCATGTCAGTTTCTTGGGCTTAGGTTGTATGATCATTAGAAAATGTCACATCCGTTCATTAAACCTCACATGACTGTCCCTGGTGTGACAAGGTGGTGGAGAAAGAAATCGAAGACATGGCATACATTCTTATATTTCCCTTGGTGGACTCTAACTCAAAGAAATAACTGGGGAGGGGCTACCCCCAGGGGGAGGAGCTTGGCTGCTGTCCCTCCTTAGTGACTGGCTGATCAAAATGACCAATGCTACATGATGATTCCTCTCCCCTGCCCCCAACTGTAGAACCTGAGAGTAGGCTCGCAGGGTGGTTCCAGTACTCACGGGTGAAGTGGTTTGAGGTGGATGGATTGACGCTATCCCCGCTGTCAGCACTTTCGCTGCTGGAGATGTCGTCATCCGATTCCCGAGCAGAGGAACAGGGTGAGGAGGCGTCCACATCTTCGAACTTCCTCTTTAAAATTCCACTCATAGCTGCGGCGTTGTCACATGTACCTGGAGTGGGAATGAACAACCGAGCATTGAGTTCTGACGGTAGATGCCTACGTTTGTAATCGGTTTCCTGTGGCTTTACATTTGTAAGCTGGGTTATAGCTGCCCCTTGAACATAACAGAAAGCAGACTTATTTTTATATTTCAAGTTAGAAAAAAAAGGAAAAAAAACAGGCTGAAAATTAACAGAAGTCCTTGACACTTCAGTTAGACCAGCACTTCAATGGTTTCCCAATGTCTTTAAGAAATAATTCAGCTTAATACACTCCCATTAGTCTTTTTGTTGACAAAATAAGAAAATCCATTTGAATCCATGAAATTCTGTGAAGAACAAAGTACAAATGGCAAGGTCCCCACCACCACCAAATCTGAAATGATTACTGTGCTGTGTGCAAAATCCATCTAGAAGAAACACTGCAAGTGGGATGTAAAAATTTTTATATTTAGAAAATTTTCAAATTCAAGGAACCTAGTTAGCAAAGCATAATGAAGCACTTGAAATCGATTCTGAAATTTAGGTGGTTTCCATTTTTACGCTGCTGCAAGATGAACTTTGTCCCCGTGCTACCTGGCTGTTGAAGCTGCTGCTATCTTTCCAGAAACTTCCTATGGCTCTTCAGTTGGGGATGGCAATAACTAAGAGGATCAAGGGAGCGACAAGTGGACTTGTTTCCTCCTGAGTCATTTGTTTTGCGTGAATGAGTTTTCTCTTCTCCTGGTGCCTGCTTACCCCTCATTAGTCATATTTTTACCTCAACAACCAGCTAAACTTTCTTCTCAATATAATGATAGTGTGGTGGTTTGAATATGTTTGGCCCAGGGCGTGGCACCATTAGGAGGTGTGTCCTTGCTGGGAGTAGGTGTGACTCTATTGGAGTAGGTGTGTCACCGTGGTGGGCATGGACTAGAAGACCCTTATCCTAGATACCTGGGAGCCAGTCCTCTCCTTTTTTGCCTTCAGAACAAGATGTAGAACTCTCAGCAACTCCAGGGCCATGCTTGCCTAGATTCGGTCATGCTCCTGCCTCGATGATAATGGACTGAGCCTCTGAACCTTTAAGCCAGTCCCAATTAAATGTTCTCCTTTATATGTAAGAGTTGCCTTGGTCATGGTGTCTGTTCACAGAAATTAAACTCTAAGATAGTTTAGTGAATAAACTACATGTAAAACTGCTCAGATATTTTCCACACAATCTTACCTTGAGAAATTAACAACCTCATTCCTGTCAGTAAATTTGAACTCTCATTGTAAGTTCTCCCTGCCAGAGCACAGCTGTCAGTCCAGTAGATCAAGAGAGAACAAGTCCCTTAAAACTATTCCAAATCCACTGTTACAGGATATCAGAACTTCTCTCAGAAATATCTAAAAAGCATCCCTTGTCTGTGCAGATCACAGAATACGCAGCCTGCTCAGACCCCCCCTGGGCTCAGCTGGCTCTCCCCAGTCTGAATTGGGAGTTCTCAAAGCATACTACCTGAACCAGTAGCAGCAATGTAACCTGGGAGAGAGACGCTTAGAAATGCATCATTTCAGTTTCCAAGTCAGAAAGACCCAGGGATTAGAGTCTTTTGTGAAACACCAAACAGGTATCTCTGATACATTCCCAAATAAGGAAACTCTTGCCAAATTTTCAGTTTCAATTCCAGAAACTTCCATCTTGGAATTTACTCTCCGTGAATCTGTTGGATAAAACCCAATGCTCACTTTCTAGTCGATTCTCTGTACACCTCTAGTGTGACTTAGTAAAATCAAACGTAATATTCCATGTATCATGTCTTTGTCCTTGATTTCAATCCATTCTTTCTAGGCATGTGTTGAGTAGCTAATATATTTATGTTGTACACATTGAATGGTGTAGTGGAAGAGTTAAAAACAAGTTACCTGCTGTCACAGTGCAAGGGTCTATTCTGACTGGCTTCAGCAAATAGCAAAATATCCCCCAAATTATGTCATTCTTCTGTTTTATTAATGTCCATCTTCTGCAGTATTGTTTTAACTATGGAGACAGCTCACAGGCACAGGAAAGTATACCATTGTATGTTCTCCTGAGAATAAAATCTCTATTCTACTCTCATTTTACAAGTATTCAGATTAGCTTATTATTTTCTTCATTTTAAAGGGTGTGAAATGCATAAAATGTTCATGCATATTGGACCCAGCAAAGAGGGAAAAAAAGATATTTTAAGAGAAGTCTTGAAATAAAAGTAGGACAGGATATAAATTTTAAAGTGATTTCACTTCAAGCAAGATGCAAAGTAATTCATGAGGGAGAGACTCCAAGACACAAAATAATACAAGATGGATACCTCTGCTCAAGACATACATTTCTATAACAAGACATTGCAATGGAGACCCTTAAAGCATTGCTCTTTACTTCCGTCACCCAAATCCCTAGCTTCCTTAATCAGGATGTATTTCTCAAGGATGAGAAACAGAAAATCTATCAACCAGGAGCTAGGCCCACCCATCACCCATCACATAGGTGGATACCTGGAGCTCCTCTCTCCCTCTCTCAATCCTTCAAGGACAAATTGTTGATCAGATGAAAATTTAAATCTTTACCTTCCTTTATTAGTTCACCTGGGAAGAGCACTGCATTGATGGAGTTAAAGGCTGGATGTGATTTCTGTCTAGATCAAACCAAAAGGGCCTTATCTGGACAATACAGAGGGTGTTGCTTAGTGGATGAAATGTAGTTAGTTGCATAGGCGCTACATAGACCTGTGGAACTGGTTGAGGGCCCAGCTTGCCTGTGGAACAGTGAAAAGCAAGACATCTGTCTTGTCTCACTATATGCATGTATCGAAATACACAAATGGTCCTCTGCCTTTTGGTATATAAGCTCTAGCATATTTAATACTGGAGGGGCAAAGCGACATGCAGTCATCTCTTCTATCCTCTTCCTCATCGTATTAGGAAAGGAAAGTGCAAGGATTTAGGGAGATGTTAGTATTACAACGCGTTATCTGCCAGGTTGCTATCTGCCCGGTGTGAGCATTTCAAATAGGCTTTATACAGAATGAAACCCAAAGTAAATCTGGGCAGCCACTGACTTATTCGAGTGTTAGAAGGTGGAGAGCTAACCCTAGAAGCAGCCATCTTTGCTCAGTTCCCACTGCCCAGTTCAGGAAACATGATAGTCATGGGCACAACTGTGGACTAGGACAAATGCCCTGTCATTCCTCTCTCCCATCCACTGTTTGCTTTGGATGTTTTCCCAGTCACTGAGAAAATAAGAAATTCAAAATACAAAACCATCACACCAGTCTGTCGTTTAAAACTCCAAAGCGACCTTAAGTCATCTTAGAAGATCAAATCCCTCAATGCCTTTAAAAACATCTCGGCAATCTAGCTTGACCAGCTTTGTCATTTATTTTGAGCCTCTGACTTTGCCAACACTTCAGCTTTGGATGGTTCAGTGCCTTAAACTTTGTATTTCTCTGTGCTCTAAGCTATTTTGGATAATTGTCCTTCTATACATTTACTACTTTCTACATCTATAGCAGGTATTTGTATATTTTATATTTCCACATTTGTTTCTTATTGTCATACACTCTGATAACAGACACGAGGGAGGTTCTTTGTTTTCTTTACTGGTGTTCTATGGTACCTTCTAGGTAACAGGTCTACAGTGGATACATGTTCACACTCTGAATGAAATCTGATGACTTCATTCATTCAAGCCTTAGTTACTGTGTCATGTCTGTTTGCCTCAAGGACTACAAGCTCCAGGAAGGAGAACAAATGTTCACACAACTCTTTGTTCCATGTCCTGTAACAAACAGCTGGCATGTTTGACTAAGTGAATATCAAAATTAGATGAAACTGACATCAAAATGTCCCCTCATGGACAAGCAATATGTAAGACAATGATAAGCAGATCATGAACAAGTCACTCTTCTGAAAAATCCTGGCCTGGTTCATGCACTGTAATATGAGATGCAGAAAACCGAAATGGAAGACACAGAGAGACCGGAGCCTTAAGTCTTTGATATTTTTGCTAAGCTTTCCTGTTGCCATCTGTGACTAGCAACTTGTGTACAGTCCCACAGCTTCAATTCAATGTTCTAAAAACTGATTAGTTTTTGGACTCTCCTGGATCAGGTATCTTGCCTGGTAGTCAGACCATTTCTTGATCAACTGGCTACTCCCGAGGATCTCACCTGGGGCTTGTGGAACTCAATCCATTTCAAAGCCAGTGTCCTCTGCTGTCTGATAAAGGTTCATCTTACTTCTTTTTTCATTTATCAACAAAATCCTGGAATTTATGTCACCAGATTCGTAGCCTAGGACTCCATTCTTTTTAGCTACACCTTCTTATCTTTGACACAAGGTCTCACTGGATAGCTCTGGCTGGACTGGAACCATTAGACCATGCTGGCTTGGAACGCACACATCTACCTGCCTTTGCCTCCCAAGTGCTGCAGCTAAAGTGCCATGCTAACACATCCAGCAACAACCCTGTATTCTTGTTGCCAAATCTAATTAAGAACTACTTTATGTTAAAACAGTTACAACCATGCTTGCTAGCATGCTCTTCTTAAGTTTCATAAGTGTGGTGTTTTGAATGTGCTTGGTCCATGGGAAATGGCACTAGCAGGAGCTGTGGCCCTGTTGGAAGAAGTGTGTCCCTTTGGTGGTGGGCTTTGAGATCCTATGCTCAGGCTCTGACCAGTGTGGAAGAGACTTTCTCCTGGTTCCTTTCAGCTCAAGAGGCAGAACTCTCAACTTCTTCTCCAGGAACATGTCTGCCTGGATGCTTTCATGTTCCTGCTATGATGAAAATGGACTGAACCTCTGAAACTGTAAGCCAACCCCAATTGAATGTTTCCTTTATAATAGTTGCCTTGATCATTGTGTCTCTGCACTGCAATGGAAACCCAAAGTAAGACAGAACTTGGTACCAGGGGCTGGGGTATTGCTGTGATAAGTCTGATCATGTGTAAGCTATTTATTTCATGTTGTAGTAGATATAAGCGTTGCTTGAACATCTATGAACATA